AAAAAGTCCTCATCAATCCGGCACCTGGAAAAAAATTTACTCGGGGTCAAAAGTCACAAAAATGGGGTTTTCGCGATTTTCAGTAAAACGGTAAGTTTTATCACAAAATTAGTTCAGATCAAAATTGTAGAGCAGATAATTATCTATAAAAAATGTCTAAGAGCCACCGTTTCCTAGATATAACAATTCAAAAAGTTCGAAGAGTTGGAATCGTCGTAATATGTATAAGTACACTACGTATATACATCACTGAAGCTGTAATACAAGTCAAAATATTATTCTATCGGTCAGTGTAACTTATACAAAAATAAAATATTATAAATATGAGAATATCAGGTAAAAAGAAACCCAGTCCCTCATTTTATACGCCAGTGTAACCTTGAGTAACATCTGTCTCCTATTCAATTGTCTGCGTGGCAAACGTCGTATAACTGCTTTATGTTAGAATACCCAATACATGCATGACTATTAGCAGAGACAACAGAGACGTGTAACTTAATAGGAAAATATGTTCGGTGGTCCATTTAAATTACATATATGACTCTCTTTTTCTTTTACATTGATCTTTACATATGTCTATCTCTCTCCAATAAAACTAACACCATTTTCAGAGGGCGCTGGTGTTGCTGGTTTTTTGACGTCGAAATATCGATTAAAAGTATTAAAACTGACAACTGACAATGTTATGAATGTTGTTATGAACATGTGCATTTTATTAAAATTAATTTAATTTGGGCCCCGTATATTTCTTTTAGTCTGATTTTGTTGTTTAATTATTTTTCTTTGGGGGGAATGTTTATTTTTTGCATGAAGCAATTTCTGGAACCAAACTCGCGTTTTTGTATACATTTCTTTCTAGAGGTAAGTAATTTCCAATTTATTATGTATATGTGTATAATGTGTGTGTTTAATAATATATTACACAATGACTATAATTATTTTAGGTGAATTGGAACAGAGATCCATTGTTACAGCTACTTGTGTTCATTAAGTAGGTAGATGAATGTCTGGACAGCTTTAATGGCAGCACAAAGTTCCTATCTACTAGAAAAGTTAAATGTATGCTGAGTAAAAAATCTGCACATGTAGTATTGGCAAAGTACTTTTGAAATGATTAGAGATTACCTATTTCTTACATACACCTACCTCTAACAGCCACTCTAAAGGAAGAAAAAAAAAAAATTGAATCACAAAAGGGCAGAATTTTAAATCAGGATGCATTGGAAAATAAATTTGGGGACATCAGGTCGGTTTTGGATTTTATAGAGAGATCAATCCCAAGAAAAGTTAATTTATCCTGCAGAACAACCAGTAGTTTAAGTAGGATTTGCTATAACTTTATTAGAAATTTTCTTTGATAATAAATTGTAATATAGGTACCAATTATTGTTTCAAATGAAATTGAAAAAGAGTTAAATATGAAATTAGATTTTTCATGAGTAAAATGTTATATTCATTTGAACATTGTAAGGTAATCTATAATTAAGGGAATATGGAAAATAGGTATACCCTGGTGGTGTAAGAGAAAGGTAAGGGGCAATGACAAAAAAATTACCAAAATGTATTTATCTTTAAATAGTGTTTATTATTAATAATATTATTTGCTATGTTTGAAAAGTACCTCCTGCTGCAGAACAGATAGAATAGATTAGACTACTAGTTGGAGAAGGTCCACCTAGTAACCAAATTAGGAGACAAGGAAAACTTTTACATGACTGGGGACACAATAGGAATGCACACACACAAGATACACAAACAAACAAAATAACAGGGGTAAGCCTTCAGCAACGTCCTGTTTAAATGATAGTATGTCATCCTTCATTCCATTTTAGAAGGCATGACATATAAATCTATTGATCTTGATTACCCTAAGAAGAGTTAGCAGGGGGTGTACGGAATGGGTCTAGCAGGTTTCGATCCAGTTTACAGGATGGGAACTCCACTCAGGCCTTATACATTTGTGTTGAGTGTATGTGTGTTTGTTTCATTTCCATGGTTTCTATTAAAATAAACAGTCATAACATATCGATACCTTTTTGCCAGACTAACATAAGCGACATTTGTTCAAATGGCACTTATGATTGTCTGGCAAAAAGGTATCGATATACTCTATGCTTTATAAAATATTTGTTACATTAGTTTTTAAATATATTATGAATATATAACAACTGTTACTTTCTTTGTAATTTGTCACAAAATGATAGGAGGTACTTTCTAAACATAGCAATTGTAGTTTGTTTTTCTGTACCTTAAAAAAATATAATTTATAGAAAAAGAGTTTGGTGTATTATTTTTCCAAGTTTAAATATTTAATAATCATTAGAATTTTCAAGTTTTTTTAGCGAAATTTACAAGAGTAATAAAAACTATGTTCACTGCTTATATTAAACTGATTAAAACTTCCTTTATTAAAATGATTATTTATATGATAAAAAATTTGATGATATTGGAAGCTTTTATATTTTTTAATAAACAGTGAAACAGTTTTTGTTTCTCTTGTAAATTTGTTGTATACAAAAACGATTTCTGAATCCATGTTTGAATTTCCCGCCCTAAAGCATTTTTAATTTTCCCGCTATTTACTAGTGGCGCCATCATAGACTGGTTGTGGTTACAATCGCCCAAATAAGTTTTACCGAACAAAAAAAATACATTGAGTTACACGTCTCGCTGGATTGTCTCTGCTATTAGTCTTGAGCGCTGCTCCGGAGTGTAAACACGTGTTTATTCTAACCTATATTTTTTAACTTATTTTGTGCTGTTTTAAATTTGATAACAAAAATGCCAGAGTATTGTTTTATTTGTTCTAAACTTTTAAGTGAAAGTGAATTTGTTACTGTAGAACGTGGTATGAAGACATTAATCAATGCAAGTACTGAAAGAGCTGATGAATATACAGAATATCTTAAAGAGCAAAAATCTGTGACCATACATGTGGAGTGTCGTAAAAATTATACTCGAAAGTGTTCTATTGCATCTATGAAAAGGTAACATGAAGAACAAGAAGCAAGTACATCTATTGTAGGTCCTCCTCGTACTAGAGCACGTGTGAGTGAATCAGCTTTTTATTTTAAAAAACAATGCTTATTTTGCAGTCAGGAATTGAATGAAGAGCATGAGAAAAGAAAATCCTTGGATTCTCGCCGTAAAATTCAACAAGTAAGTACACTTACATTTAAAGATTCGATTCTGAAAACAGCTCGGAATCGTTCTGATGTTATGGCAAAAGCTGTTTTTGCTCGACTCGAATTCGAAAATGATTTAGTTGCTGCTGAGGCTAAGTATCATCATGACTGCTTTAATTCCTTCTTGAAACCGCCCACTGGGGTTAAAGTCGGTCGTCCTCACGATGAAACTACGAATCTAGCAATGGAGGAAATATTCACTTATATCGAAAAGAGTGATGATTGTCAGTTTACTTTGAACGAATTAAAAAATGTTTGTAAAACTACAATTATAGATAACCGGACGCTAAAGCTGCGATTGAAGCTAAAGTATGGTAATAAAATTATTATCACTGAAAAATCAGGAACTTCAACATTCATATGCTTAGTAGACAATCATCATGATATTTTGAATCAAGCTTGGTATGAAAAGAAGAAATTGAATAAAAAAGAAGAACGACTCAGAATCTTAGAAGCTGCTGCAGCAATCATCCGCGAAGATATTCAATCCACTGTGTTAGATAATTCTAATTACCCTCCACCAGGTCGCATGTTTGAAGATTTAAACAACGAAATCCCAGAGTCGCCGACCCATTTTTTGGATCAAGTGATTTTAAAAAATAAAAGATCAAATTTAGATCATTTAAAATTGATATGCACAAATATTAGCCATAGTATAATGGCTGCTGTTCGGCCGAGGTCGGAAGAGGAAGCAGAAATATTTGAGAATTATGATTCCGACGAATAAATTTGCCTACTTTTTTTATTTACACAGCTTTTATCATTTTCAACTCTTGCCAATATCTTTTATTATTTAATAGTTTCAATTTAGTCACAACAGATCCTTGGAATAGGCCTACCGGGGAAACCACGTTAAAAAAACGCGCTAAGTACACTACCTCAAAGGTGGTGTGGAAACGTGTGCATATTACGACAATTCCAACTCTTCGAACTTTTTGAATTGTTATATCTAGGAAACGGTGGCTCTTAAAAAAAAAATCATTTTTTATAGATAATTATCTGCTCTACAATTTTGATCTGAACTAATTTTGTGATAAAACTTACCGTTTTGCTGAAAATCGCGAAAAATCCATTTTTGTGACCTTTGACCACGAGTAATTTTTTTTTCCAGGTGTCGGATTGATGAGGACTTTTTAGGTTTCATTTATAATGGTGTTTTGAACAATCCTACCAACTTTCAGCCAGGTGCGAATTTATGTATCCTTGAATGTCTAGATTGACCGGATTATATATGAAAGTACGATCCTGTTATTGTTTACTTTGGGTTTATTTTGTTTCAAATAGAACCGTCCATTCCAGTTCTCAGATACAGTGGACGAATTAATTTTTCAAGGGTTATAACAGCCTCTTAGCTGATCGAGTGTAATTCAGTGATTCTGAAGTAGTTTCCGAAAGAACCAAAACAAGCCTTTTATTTACAATGAGGAATTTAGAACTTTTACTGATCATCCTAGTTTGAACGGCTATGTACGCCGCTGACCGGAAAAATCACAAGTGAATATCATGGTTTTCTGGAATAATGCTGAGTCGATGAAAAGACGACCTTATTATTTCAGGATATCTTAGTCTGTAACATTTGAAAAAGGAACACGCATACCTGACTTCGTTGAGACAGTTTGTGTTTATATGATTGATTCGCTTTTGGTCTGTGGCCGTTTTATCATAAAATCTTACTTAAAATTGGATATCGGTGTTTTATTTTCTTGATTTAAAAACTAAACACCGAGAAATAGTTTACACTAGCAATGTAGATAGAAATGGTGTTAAAATATTTATAAGTCTAGGCACCATATTTATATTTTATAGAATTCTTACCTTATTTGTTGTGTGACTGTCCCATACGATAAGTTTACCATCCTGTGATGCTGAGACGAGATTTCGCGAGTCTGATCCCCAGTGCATGGCATAGATCTTGGCCAAGTGTCCTCGGAGAGTGCGTCTAGTCCGCATCTGCACTCGCCCGATGGGTTCGAGGCTGGCAGTCGCTTGCACCAAAGATGTGTCACAAGCCGCTTTTCGGGCATCCTGAAATAAAACACAAAATATACCAATTCCTAACATAAGTACTTTTTATATTTTTGTATTTAAATTGTTGTTCTTTGTAATTATATATACAGTACTGGCCAAAAGTTCCCTATGTATATTTTGAAGGGTTATACTTAAACTAATAATATTTTGAATGTGAAAATGAATGGACATAAACCACTTTTGTAGTGGTAACTGGTGACGTTATCGCCATAGATGTCGTCACAGTATTAATGCGGCAAATACTTTTAAATGGGGTCCTATGAGAAGTGACCCCTCGTTTGAAGGGTATTTAAAACACCTAGTTAAACCTATTTAAAAAAAAAACTTTATTGTCCAAACAGGTTAAACCCCAATTAGAGGACACATACAATAAAAAATATATGTATACATATAATATTATACCTAATTTAAAGAAAATAACTTAAAATACTTAAATTAATAGCTTTGTGCTTCACATATTTATTAATATTAATAAAAATTGAAAATAATAATGGAGCCAGATTACTTCTTTGAGGCGCTCCACTGGTAGCAACAAAAAGTTTGATTTGTGACCGCTATATTCAACATTTAAGGTTGTTTTGACGTATTAAATACTAAAATTTCAATTTAGCACATAATTAATACAGATTCCAAAGTTCGACCCGAGAATTTCTCGGGTTCGACACTGTATAATTGTCAAAAAGGTGACGTTTCTTTAACCTGCTTTACTTTTTGCTTTATTACGTTGTTTCAATCCTCGAGTTTTTAGTTGAAATATGTTTAAACGAGATATCTAAATAAGCGCAATGGTACATATCGTCGGGTTAATATGAAAATTGCATAAGTCCAAAATAAACAATTTTACAGGAGACAAAAAACGAATTTTCGGCTAATTTAAAATTTATAGTTAAATAAATATTACATTGTTATGAAAATTGCACAACTCCATTCAAAATTTAAACATGGTTTACAGATCAATATTTGTTGAAGTATAATCGATTTAATATAACTTTGAGTCACTTGTACTTATTTTTACGTTATTGTTACAAGCTTTATATAGTGTTTTTAGTAAAATCTAGTGACAATTTTCGTAAACTAAGAATATATTTCTGTAGCTTTAGCAGCGGTGAACCAGATTCAGCCAAAATCGCAAAATCAAAAAATTTGGACTTATGCACTTTTCATATTAAGCCGACGATATGATAGAAGACAAGAGTTTCTTCAAAGGTCTGAAGCAACGAAGAGTGTTAAAGATGCAGTATGATCTGGCCAACCACAAATTGACACAATTGTAGAAACTTTACCTTTTAAACAACCTTAGTCGCATCTACTTTAAATTTGGTGAAAGGACAGTGCACAGGGTGTTGAGAAAGCAAATCCTCATGTGTTTTGTGAAAAAAAAAATACATTTCCGGAAAAATTAAATGTCTGACATTCTATATTTTTGAACATCAATTTAACAAGTAAAGTTTACCTGGAGATGCTAAACACAATTTAGATGAATTTGGTAATAACGTTCCAATAAGTCAGAGCTCCTGCACGCTATTATGCTGCAGTCAGACGTTATTTGGATGCAGAATGGCGGAATGACCGGCTCGGTCAACGGGTCTTACACCTTTAGATTTTTTTACTTGTCCTTATTATAAAATTGGAAATAGCAAAATTGGCTAGATTATTTTGGGAACACAACCTGCCAGATAGGTCCCACGCACCCATACTTGGGAAAACTCCTAGGTATGTTACTTATAGTGCAATCAGGGTAAATTAACCAGAAAAGGTAGATAATTCCTAGAGCAGGGATTTAGAAAATATGCCCCAGTAAATGTAATTAAAAACTTTAAAATAAATATTGAACTAGAAAGAAAAAATATAAAGAATAATTATATTCCCTAAATCCCTAACTATTTTATGAACATACCGTATATAATTGATGGAAACTAAAAAAATATTTACGTACATTGGTATATTATAATTTATTATAATTTCGACGTGGACGTAGCTTTAGACTTTAGATCAATGGATACAGAATAAAAACAAAGAGTATTTATTATTTATAGAAATGTTCGAAATTAAATCATGTAGAAAATAAATTGCATTTTAAACACGTGGAGTTCACAAGTATTCCATTTGATTGGTTAAGTAAATAAACGATGCAATTAACGAATTAATGTATATACGATAATAAAATAAAACAATGACATTTATCTAAAAATAACTGTATTAACTGTCTATTGTTTAGTTTTTATTACGTTTTTAAAATCGATAAAAAAACCAAAACGTCGAACATAAAATTTAGTCTACGACTAATCTAAATATTTAATTAACTGTTCTACAGGATTAACCCAATTACAGAACAGGAAAAACACGTCCAAAAATAAATTAACTAGATATAAAAATAAAAACTAAATGGACGCTGCTATGGTTCGTTTTTAAACTAAGAGGGGCGAGTCGATAAGTCGCATTTACAAGGGAAAAGTTACAAGATATCATTTTAGCGGTAAATTTGAATTTTGTATCATTTAAAGCAAAACATTTTATATAACCAACAAATAAAGATTGTGCTCATTAACTTTTTTTTATTAATTATAGATTAATTAGCAGTTCGAGCCAGTAAAACACCGACTAAATGTCAACCAACAAAATGTTATCTTTGTTTACATTTAGGGTTTAACATAGATTTTATTATGGTTTTTGATCGATAATTTTTATATTTTCATTGTTTTATTAGAAACCATGTTAGTCAGTAATCATTATCTATTAGAATAACATAAAAAAAAGTAAATATGGTAGGTATTTAAATTTGATAAAACTATTAGAATAGTTGAATCTTTTTGGTTTTAGAAATGAAATTAAGCATAATATAATCCTACATGACATAAATGAGACGAAACAAGTAAATACGGCCACAAAAGCCCAAATAGTATGCAGGAACATTGCGGGTAAAAGATGAACTATAATAATTAGGGATTGCACTACCGGCTTACCGATTTACCGCCTTAAAAGTTTTTTAAATTACCGACGAAGAAATCGACATCTTTTACCGGTAATTTTGGTAAAAAATGCCAAGCTGACAACAGCGCGGATCCGTTGTTTCTATGATGCACGGCAGCGCTTAAATACAGGGAAGTAATAAAAACATGTTTCTTCTTTTCCTTGCAGTTGTTGCCAATAGCAAACAATGGATACAACTTCGGTTTGGCACCATTATAACAAAACTAAGGATGGGTGTGTGTGTGTTTAAACTTTGTTCCAGACAAATTAAAGCTGCTGGAGGAAGCACTAGTGGTTTACGCAGTCATTTAAAGAGTCAACATGAAATAAACTTGTTGAAAAGAGGAAAATCTATACCTTTATCTGACATTTCTGGAAAACGCAACAACCAGCCTTACAGAGAAATATCTACAATTATGTCCTATTTTAAACCGACTATAGACGATTCATTTCAAGCACTAATTACACGTTTCGGCTGCACTGGACGGTTTGCCATTTAATAAGTTTTGCACTTCAGAAGATTTAAGAAAATTATTAAAAGTAAAAGGTTATAGAGATATACCGAAATCACCAAATACCATAAGAAAAATATTGTTTTGGAATATTCTAATAAAATGCTTTAAGAAGTAATAAATGAGTTGAAAGAGAATAAACTTCGGGAAGAAGTGTTTATTTCGATAAAAAAACCATCGCTTCATGAACATAAATGTCCATACAAAGGATGCCTTTTGGAACTTACGATTAGCTCTGGTCCATGGTGTTTCAATAATGAAAAAAGTGAGAAAATGGATAGATCCACACCACCAATTATGTATAGAGCATGGCATACAATTAGCCGTAATTAAAGTATTATACAATAAAACTGATTTACACGATGCTGATAAATTACGTGACGAAAATATCGATGAAGATAGTGAGCCCGACAAAGGTAATGAATCTGGTTCCGAATATTCCGAGGAAAATGAAAATTTAAATGACAATTTGGCAATTGAATACGAAGCTGGTGGAACCATCGATCAAGCTCTACCAGTGCCAACTTTCTTATCAAATATTGAATTAAATGGTTTAATTACAAAAATTCGGAAAGTCGTTAAAATTTTTAGCAAATCCCCGACTAAAAATGATAAGATTCTACAAAAACATGTAAAAGAAGAATTTAATAAGGAATATTCTTTAATACTTGACTGCAAAACCCGAGGCAAAACCAGATGGAACAGTTCGTTAGCAATGCTGGAAAGATTTGAAATGTTAAGAAATTGCATCAGAAAGAGCTTAATAGACATTAAATCAGCAATAAACTTCACAGAAGATGAACTTGAGTTACTATCTAGTACAATTTTAGCATTGCAGTAGAGCAATTATGTTGCGAAGATGCAAATCTTTTTATAGCTGATATTACCTTAAAATTCATGATTAATGAGCTTACAAGTCAAAACACAGTTATAAGTATTGAACTGAAAGAAGCATTGTTAGATCGTATAAAAGAGAGACGGACCATTTATTCTGATGTTCTTCAGTACCTGCATAATCTGTTTACTGAGGAATCTAGTGGTGAAGATTATGGAGTATTTAATAAAACCAGCGAATCTACAATAAGAAATGCAATAGTGGAAGTAATTGGGTGGGTTTCAAAACAAAACCTAGAAGAGTCATCAGAAAATATAAATAACATTGACCTCGATGATTCCTCTGATGAGGATAAAATCCCCCTTAGTCGGGTTTTGGGTCCATCAACATCAAAATGCTGCATTGTCTATTAAAGAAAAACTTCAACTAGCGATAAGAAAGAAAATTGATGTAAACAGTACTCTTCCAATTAGAAGACAGCAGGTTAGGCCTAACAGTGTTCATCAATGTGTGAAAACAGAAATGCAATATTTTCAGAAGGAGGGAAATACTTAAAAATGTCTTTCGCAGCACTCATGACAACTCGGCCTACTAGTGTGGAGTCCGAAAGAGCCTTTCTGCGGCAGGAACAATTTGTACTAAGATTAGGTCGCGGCTAAGTGATAAAGAGTCGTTGGAAAAGTAAGAAACGATAGATATTTTTTTATTTAAATTACTATTTTGAATGTTTTAGGGCTTGTTACTAGACTTTAAGTTAGGTATATTAGTTTTTTTTTTAAGTTTACCTAGAGTTTTACTTTTCTGTTATTATTTAATAAGAATTAAAGTTTTTTTATTTATTTCTTTGTTATTTTTTGTATTTGTAAATACCTAAAAACGTATTGAGATCTTGCTATGTAATGATTTATCGTGTTTTTGAATGATACTAATATACTGAATTATTTGTCCTAAAAATTATAACTGAATTTTCGTGCTAAATATTGGTTTTTGTCATTTTGATAAAGGTTTATCCGCGAAACCGCGCTTTTTAAAACACCTATAAAACGTATTTATAGGTTTTGCTATGTAATGATTTTTTATTTTTTGAACTATAATAATGTATTGAATCATTCATACTAAAAATTATCTGGATTTTCGTGCTAAATATTGTTTTTTTTTTTATTGTGAAAGAGTAATGTTCATCAGCGGAACCGCGCATTTTTGAATGATACTAATGTACTGAATTATTTGACCTAAAAATTATACCTGGAAGAAGAAGATGAAAAAATGAAGAGCAACAATAGTCACTAGGTAGTAGAGGTGTGTCGTTCGCGAACGATTCGTTCAAAAAGAACGAATCAGTGGACTGACTCGAATGAATTGATTCCCTGTTTTTAAAAGATTCGAATCTTTTTTGGGTCAATTGCTCGATGGCTCTGCGATCGATCAAACATGCCGAGTTCCGAGTTTGGTTGCTTCGTTCATTCGAATCGGATTCGAAGATTTGGTATTTTACATCGGCATCGGAAAATTGGTCGCTTTTGTTCTACGTTCTACGACATAATACGAGAACTCTTAACTGACAGGAGGTGGCGGCAAGTGTCTTTAATGTTTTTCTCACTTTACGGGAGGTGTATTAAGCTTAGGTAAACAATTTATGCGTGTTGTCTGATAAATAAATTTAAATCAAAGTAAAATTAAAACAATAAATGACGAATCGTGAATATATAATTTTGCGTTAATTTTGGCTATATATTTAGCATTTAAAAAAAAGTGTTATTGTTGTTTATCTTAACGGACAAGGATGTATCTACTATTCAGCTGCCTTTTTTTTATGAAATATGAAACATTAATTCGCTTTACTTTAAAATAAATCTGGTTATAATTATTTTACTCGAGGACCTAGTAGGACTTATTAGGATAGGTAGGTAGGTTAGGTAGTACCCAAATTCGTAAAAGGTCGATTCGATTTCCTTCGCCGGATCGACGGAATAACATCGTTCGTGGTTCGCTAAAGTGAATCACTTGAGAACGAATCTTGAACAACGAATCTTTTTAGGTGAATGAATCAAATGAATTAATTCAGTAGAAAGATTCGAACTTCCCACCTCTACTAGGTAGGGTGTATCATTTTTGAGTAACTTTTTTTTTTTTTTTTATTAACTAAAAAACAGGTTAAAAACTTTCAGGAAGGTGAAAGAAGCCTCTAAAAATTTGAGTTCCTAATATTAACATTAAGTGGTAAAGTTCTAATTTATTTTTTCAATGTGTGAGCCGTTCCGAAAATATTCAAACTTCAAGTTGCAAATGTATGAAATTATGACTTTTATTTTATTAAGGAGGTTCTTTCGCCACACCTCTCGCCTCAAATGTTAAAAAAAAAGTTATTAGATTATGACTTAAATTTATTTTTTTCTAATAGTTGATGTCCTTATTTATCTAATACTGAACTTTTAACTATACCTTACCTTGCAAATTTTTGAGATTTTTTTTTTTTAATGTGAGTATTTGTACAGTGCCTCACGAGAAAGTAAGTCCTCAACAACAATTCTCGAATTATACTATTATTTATTGATTAGATGGAGTAGAAAAAAACTAAAAATAAGGTTTTTGAAATATTTAGATTTTGTTTTATACAATAAAATATATATAGTAAACCGTGGAACTTATTGAGAAATTAATATTAAAAAATCACAAAAAATTTTCAAGTAACCTAGTTGAAAATGTTTTGTGATTTTGTAATAATAATTTCTCAATAAATTCCACGGTAACCCATATATTTTATTGTAAAAAACAAAACCTAAATATTTCAAAAACCTTATTTTTAGTTTTTTTCTACTCCATCTAATCAATAAATAATAGTAAAATTAATTATAATTCAAAAATTGTTGTTGAAGTCTTACTTTCTCATAAGACACTGTACAAACACACACATTTTAAAAAAAAAATTCTCAAAAATTTGCACGGTAAGGTATAGTTAAAAGTTCACTATTAGATAAATAAGGACATCTACTATTAGAAAAAAATAAATTTTAGCCATATCTAATATTTTTTATTTAACATTGGTGGCGAAAGGACCTCCTTAAACTAATACTGATGACTTTTTGTCTTAAAAAATATTTTCAAGAAAAATTTATTATTATTATTTTCGTATAGAAAGAAAATAATAGGTACATTTCAATTTTTTTTTTCATTTTATTTTATTTACTATCAAAAAAAGTTATTTGTTCAATTATAGATTAAATAAAACGATCAATTTGTTATTGTGTTGAATTTTTAATCTTTCTTTATTTTACATAATTTTACTTGAATTATATTATTTTTCATTTTTGCAATGCTCAAATGTCAAGCTACGAAAATAATAAAAAAGAAAAATTTGTTTCCATGTTATTTAAATGGAAAGTTAGGAATAGACACCACTAAATGTTAATATTATGAGCTCAAATTTTTTCACCTTCCTGAAAGATTTTAGCCTATTTTTTAGTTGAAAAAAAAAAAAGTTGCTCAAAAATGACACGCCCTAGTAGTCATAGTTCACAAGATGTGAATTGGCCACCACAACCAGAAATAGAAGAACAGGAAGAATGACATGAGGAGATACACCGACGAGATTTTTGGTTAACTAAAAAAATTGGTTCGCTACTATGTTGTGGAAGTTATGGAAGTTGCAGGAGACGTTTTTATAATAAGATATCTAAAAAAAATAGAAGGAGAAACACATAAGTTTTTATACGAATCGGAAAAAATATATGAAATACCAGAATAAGATTTTATTATGAAATTACCTGCACCTATGAGTGTAGGTGGTTCTGAGCATAGATATATAACCAAGACAGATAGGACTATTTAGAAAATTTTTGAAGAATGAACGGTGGTGTCCGCGGTAGAAACCCAATAATCGGATTGAACATTGATGCCAAGTTTACGTGCTTTTAACTATAGATATACAGTATGGTTCAAATGAAATGAATAAATTCATTATAATGGAAGTAGTTGGTTTTTCGAAAAAATGCTCGGACAGGTCAATTTTGTTTACTCAAAGCCCAATTTTTTAAATAGAATTCAATTTTCCCCCACTTTCCATTTTTGGGCAGTGACGTCATTGACAAATTTTTCAAATGTTAACCCCATCTTTTTTGCTTGATTTTGATAGATCTTGCAATTTCCTACTCGGAAACATAATATTTGAAATATTTTACATAACAATTTTTTTTGAATAAAAGTCATTTAAAGATCAGACACATAAATTTTATTTTATTTTGAGAACACAATAAATGAATAAAAGATAATTATTTGTAATTAAGTGCTTAATCTAACAAAATAATATTAATAATAATAATAAAAAAAAAAGAATTTGTGAAATTGTCATTAAATTCTTTTTATTATTATTATTATTATTTTAGATGAAGCACTTAATTACAAAAAATCTTTTATTCATTTATTATGTTTAAAAATAAAATAAAATTTATGTATCTGATCTTTAAATGACTTTTATTCAAAAAAAAAAATGTGTCAGATATTTCAAATATTATGTTTCCGAGTAGGAAATTGCAAGATCTTTCAAAATCAAGAAAAACAAATTGAAGTTACTATTTAAAAAAATTGTCAATGACGTCACTGCTCAAAAACGGGAAGTGGGGGAAAATTGAATTCTATTTAAAAAATTGCGCTTTGAGTAAACAAAATTGACCTGTCCGAGCATTTTTTCGAAAAACCAACTACTTCCATTATAATGAATTTATTCCTTTCATTTGAACCATACTGTATATAACCAATACAGATTACACAATTTCTGAAGTCAACGCGGATGATCCTCGATAGAAATGCAATATTTGGATAAAATTAAAATATTGATGCCAAGTTTGCGATGTTTTTAACTGTAGTAATGTTATTGCGTTTGCTTGAATTACTGTTAGGTCTTTAAATTGTCCAAAAAAAAAATAACGTCTGACAACAGCGGAAGTAGAGTAGACCGCAATTGTGGAGGGTCGTATATTGTTTCATTCATAAAAATTCCTTCGATACAG